ACTTTGGAGCCTCTGAGATGGTATGTACTCTCCCTGGATTTGAACCGGTCTTGGATACGCTGAGGCAGCATGTGATTATGGGCCTTATACATTACAATTGCAGTGTTTAGATCAAGATCGTAAAACTTTAGTGTTTTAGATTTAATAAACAAGGAATTAGTGTGTGCATAATAATCAGCATAATGTATGATTCTGATGGCTTTCTTTTGGAGTGTGAAAATTGATTTGGTGTTAGATTTATAATTATTACCCCATATTTCAATACAGTAATTGAGATATGGCAGTATGAAGGAATTATATAACATATTAAGTGCATCATGATTTACAGAGTTTTGTATTTTGTATAACATACCTATACTTTTTGAGAGTTTTGTCTTTAGTGTGTTTATGTGCAGCTTCCAATTTAATTCATGATCTATGTTGACTCCCAAGAATTTAGTAGAATACACCCTTTCAATTTCCACATCAGATATTTGTATGTGGCATGGTGTGTCAATATTTCTGTTTCCAAAAATGATGTATTTAGTTTTATTCAAATGTATGGATAATTTGTTTGTATCAAACCACTGTTTAAGAATAACAAGTTCATTCTTGACTGTTGGAGTGAGTTTCTTGAGATCTGGCCCAGAGCAGTACAGGCTTGTGTCATCAGCAAACAGTATACATTTTAACTTTTTAAACACTTTACATACATCATTAATATACATTAGAAATAGCTTAGGTCCCAATACAGAGCCTTGAGGGACTCTGTGTGTTAAGATCCTTTTATCTGAATCTGTGTTGTATATTTGAAAATACTGCTCTCTGCCACCAAGATAACTCTTTAGCCAATTACAAGCAAGACCTCTGACACCATACCTCTGCATTTTGTTTAAAAGTATTGTGTGATCTATGGTGTCAAAGGCCTTGCTGAGGTCTATGAACACACCGACTGTGGCAAGGCCACATTCTTCTGGCAAGGCCGAAGATAACATGGACCCCTACAATCTACAACACTCTGCAGTTTCCAGCACGGATCCCGCTCCCCCCGCCTCCCTCTACCTATCCATCTGGCTCCTTCCCTCCCCTCCACTCCTCATTGTCTTTCCGACTCACCCCCTCCCTGACCCTGCCCCCCTCTGACAGCCACATTGGGCCGCTCTCTGCCAAAACAATTTCCAAGTGGTAACTATTGTTTGATACTTACGTGGCAATAAAAATTATTCTGATTCTGATTCTGAAAATTATGAGAGGCCAGTGATTTTCATCGTAGATATTCCTCAAATGCATTGAAAAGTGAACTCATCTAGTTCAGTAACAGTTTGGGTCACACAAACCATTTTGGACTTAGATAATCTGTGGTTTAGTGCTCTGTGTTCTGGGTGTTTTTATTTTGATAGTCTTAGAGCCATATAAAATAAGATAAGATAGACTTCATTGATCTCACACTGGAAAAATGTACATGTCACATTTGGTACATATATAATCACTCAGATTGTGTAAAAGACAGAAGTGCAAACATGTTAAAGGATAAAAATACAGTCTGGCAGGATATAATTATGTACAATAAAAAAAGAGTGGCAATAGCAGTGCTGTTTTTTCAGTCCTAGTGCATTAGTGACTTAAAGTGACTCATTGCACAGTACTTATAAGGATTGATCCAACAGATTCCTTAATTCACGTTGGAGACTCAAGCTTGCCTTAGCAACCGTCTTAGCAACATATCTGCCCCAGTTATAGTGCAAAGCCGGCAACGTAGCCACCATCATCAGCCAATATCATCATCAAAAATATTAAGTTAGCTACTAATTGTGCAAGTCCTTCCTCTAAAAACAATGAGAGATGCCTGTGTTTTTCACATATACAGTGGGGCAAAAAAGTATTCAGTCAGCCACCGATTGTGCAAGTTCTCCCACTTAAAATAATGACAGAGGTCTGTAATTTTCATCATTGGTACACTTCAACTGTGAGAGACAGAATGTGAAAAAAATATCCAGGAATTCACATTGTAGGATTTTTAAAGAATGTATTTGTAAATTATGGTGGAAAATAAGTATTTGGTCAATAACACAAATTCAAGTCAATGGAAGGAGGTTTTGGCTCAAAATCTCACGATACATGGCCCCATTCATTCTTTCCTCAACACGGATCAGTCGTCCCGTCCCCTTAACAGAAAAACAGCCATCAAAGCATGACGTTTCCACCCCCATGCTTCACAGTAGGTATGGTGTTCTTGGGATGCAACTCAGTATCCAAACACGGTTTCATCTGACCACATGACATTCTCCCAATCCTCTGCTGTATCATCCATGTGCTCTCTGGCAAACTTCAGACGGGCCTGGACATGCACTGGCTTCAGCAGGGGGACACGTCTGGCACTGCAGGATTTGATTCCCTGTCGTCGTAGTGTGTTACTGATGGTAACCTTTGTTACTTTGGTCCCAGCTCTCTGCAGGTCATTCACCAGGTCCCCCCGTGTGGTTCTGGGATATTTGATCACCGTTCTCATGATCCTTTTGACCCCACGGGATGAGATCTTGCGTGGAGCCCCAGATGGAGGGAGATTATCAGTGGTTGAAATATCGTTTTTGGCTACATTTGGGCTATCTTTTATACAGATACCGAGTTCAAACAGGTGCCATTAATACAGGTAACGAGTGGAGGACAGAAGAGCTTCTTAAAGAAGAAGTTACCGGATTCTGGGCTAGGCAGACGATGGAGTAACACGTGTCTCCATACGCTCCTGCGCGAATTAATATTATCCAATAGTTTTGGCACAATTGGTTCATCCCCGGCATTTGGACGTCATATATACTTTGTTAAGGTATATGCTTTTTTATTTTTGTTGACAAAAATGTCGCACAAAGGAAGGAAAGCGAAGGCGCACCAAAGGGGGCCTGCGGATGCTACATCCCCCAGCCACAGTGAATCCTCGGGGCCGTCTGAAGTTGCGGAGGAGCTAGCCACAGGTGACGCTACTAATTTGAAAATCGAGCACCTGGATGCTTTTCGGGAGGAGATGAAAATGTTGTTTAAAGCAGAATTACAAGAGGCATTTGGAATGCACCTGGTATCTGTCAAAAACGAACTACTTGTGCTAAAGACTGAACTTTCCGCTAGCATTAGCACTGTGACGCAAGAGGTCTCGGAGCTAAAGGCTACTGTCGCTGATATGGAGCACTCTCTCTCGACATGCACAACATTGTGTCCCTCCGCACCAAGGTGGAAAATATGTCTAAAGATCTCATCAGACTAGACAATAAATGTGAAGATTTGGAGTCTATGATCACGCCGTAACAACGTGCGCATAGTGGGAATACCAGAAAGCCAGGCTATATCCTGTGAATTTGTGTCAACACTTCTGAGAGATGCTTTTCGGCTCGGTAAGGAACCACTTGTGGACCGGGCTCACCGGGCCATGAACGCCATTCCCAGTGCTGGCGGGCGACCCCGCGCCGTAGTAACGCGATTACATTACTACTCAGATTGTGCAGAAATTCTCCGAAGGGCTAGAGAACTACAACAGATTAAGACCAGAGACATTGCCATCTCCGTTTTTCCTGACTACACTGCGAAGACGGCTCGCGCGCGTGCAGCCTTCAATGATGTGCGCCGTCAACTCAGGGACATTGGTGGAATTCGCTTTGGGATTCTTCACCCAGCCAAGCTACACATCACGCACGACGGGAAACAACGCGACTTTATCTCCCCAGAGGAAGCAGCAAAGTTTGTGAAGACTATAACTGGATAGATATGTTTATTATTATTGTTATGGCTTATTTCAGTTAGTTTCCTTGCAGGGTAAGTTCTGTTAGAATTTGAAAACACAGGGGTTAAATATTCCTTTGTAGTTGTTAAAACATGCCGTTTTGAAGCACTACTGGTTTAATGTTTGTGCCTTTACGTTTAACGTTTCATTTTGCGGGAGTTATGGCTAGTTGTTAGATTCAAGTGGGTCTAACTAGTCGAGAAGGTTTTTTTTTTTCTATCACTCCGTTAAGGAGCTTGCACTGCTGTCTCTGTCGTTTGGGGATGGGGACAACTGATGTGCGGGGGGGAGGGGAAGGGTTGGGTTCTGTTCCGCTGTTTTGATAAGCTGCACTCTGTCAAAGATTTGGTTTTTGTACTTAATCCTTTTATTTTTCTTTCCTCGTTTTTTATTCTCTTTTTATATCTTTTGTTTTGTTTTTGTTTTTATTCTATGTGGGGGTATAATGTCAAATATACACTCATCGTTTAAATGACTGGCTCCCCAGGTACAGTTTTAAACAATATTGATGGCATTACATTTCTGACCTGGAACGTGAAAGGAATGAACAGCCCCATTAAACGTTCTAAAATAATGGCACATCTGAAACGTGTCAAAGGTGATGTTATATTCCTACAGGAAACTCATTTACGAAATAAGGATCATGGTAGGCTCAAAAGTCCATGGGTGGGACAGGTTTTCCATTCGTCTTTTGATACTAAAGCTAGAGGAGTAGCTATTTTAATAAATAAGAGAATACAATTTACTCTGTCTAATTTAATAGCTGACAAAAATGGGCGATATCTAATGATTATCGGTGCTGTGTGCAACAACCCTGTTGTATTAGTTAATGTATACGCTCCTAATTTCGATGACCCAAGATTTATGCATAAACTATTTAGTGCCATCCCATCCATGAACACCCACCGGCTAATAATAGCTGGAGATTTCAATTGTGTTATCAACCCTATTTTGGACCGTTCAAACCCCAAAACTATTACTATTATTATCGCGCATTGATTATTTCTTTATAGACAGTTCTCTCCTTGCTCCAACAACTTTACCTAAATACCACCCAATAGTAATTTCTGACCATGCCCCACTCAGTATGAATATACAATTGCCAAATCAACCACTTTTTTCCTCACCCTGGAGGTTTAATTCTTCATTATTGTTAGACGAGAATTTTTCTGTGTTCATTAGATCTCAAATTGATGAATATATTGCCCTTAACAAAAATGACTCAATTTATGATTCTCTTCTATGGGAATCTTTGAAAGCATATTTACGTGGACAAATAATTTCTTTTTCTATTCATTCCAATAGAGAGCGCAGAAATAGAATAACTGAGTTATTAACAAAGATTAGTGACCTAGATAATCAAATAGTTGCTCAGCCTACTCCTAGTTTACACAAAATGCGAATAAATTTACAAACTGAGTTTGATCTACTCTCTACATCTGAGGCAGAACGACTCATACTTCGCTCTCGTGCTACATTCTTTGAACATGGGGAAAAGCCCAGTCGGCTTCTTGCTCACCAGTTGAAACGTCAGGCTGCTTCTAGACTGATAAATCAAATTAGAGGCACAACTAACAATTTGGCCTCTGATTCGAAAGCGATTAATGATATTTTCAAGGAATATTACTCTTCTCTATATCAATCTGAATCCACAGTAAGCCCTACTGAACTATGTGCTTTTCTAGAGGGCCTGGCTGCTCCTAAAGTGGACCCAGCCTTGGCTGAACAGCTGGATATGCCCATTCAACTTGAAGAAATCTCATCTGCCATTAAAAGCATGCATAATGGTCGGGCACCTGGCCCGGACGGCTTCTCAGTAGAATTCTATAAAGACCTGGTGGAAAAAATGTCACCACTGCTTCTTTCACTCTACAACGAATCCCTTGAACGAGGTACCTTGCCTCCTACACTTTCTCAAGCAGTTATTACTGTTCTTTTAAAGAAGGATAAGGACCCTACTTCTTGTTCATCATATAGACCTATTTCACTGCTTAATGTGGATGTAAAAGTTTTGGCCAAAGTGCTGGCGTGCCGCCTTGAAAAAATCCTTCAATTATCTCAGAAGAACAGACAGGTTTCATTAAAGGCCGGCATTTGTTTTATAATGTTCGCACTCTTTTTAATGTTATCACATCTCAACATTCCGCCACTGTTCCAGAGGTTGTAATCTCGCTTGACGCAGAAAAAGCGTTTGACCGTGTTGAGTGGCGCTACCTTTTTGCTGTGCTGAAGAAATTTGGTTTTGGTGAACGTTTCGTTTCATGGATTCAGTTATTATATAATTCACCCCAGTCAAGTGTTCACACAAATGATGTCACTTCTGCTTATTTCACGCTATCTCGGGGAACAAGACAGGGATGCCCGTTGTCTCCTTTGCTGTTTGCTTTAGCTATTGAACCGTTATCAATTGCATTACGCTCGCTGGATCAGTTTAGGGGTATATCAAGTTTGGGTATTGATTTGAAACTGTCACTTTATGCTGATGATTTGCTTCTATATGTATCCAGTCCCAAAACAAGTGTTCCACCGATATTATCATTTCTGAAAAGCTTTGGATCATTTTCAGGCTACAAAATAAATCTTCTTAAGAGTGAATGCTTCCCCATAAACACTTCAGCTTTAGCTCTCAAGCAGGAAGACATTCCATTTAAGCTCAGCTCTTCAGGATTCAAATATCTAGGCGTTAACGTGACACGCACACTTTCCTCACTGGTGGCTTCTAATTTTTCCCCTTTGATGAATCAAATTAAGTTGGACTTTCAACGTTGGAGCTCTTTACCTTTGTCACTTTTGGGACAAATTAATATAATAAAAATTAACATATTGCCACGCTTTCTCTTTCTTTTTCAATGCATTCCGGTCTGCATTCCGGTCTTTTTGCCCAAATCATTTTTTAAAACTTTAGATAAACTTATAACCACTTTTTTATGGGAAGGAAAAACTCCAAGAGTGACATTCAGTGGGGGCCTTTCTTTACCCAATTTTTTATAATATTATTGGTCTGCGCATATTCATAAATCAATTTACTGGCTCCAGTCACGGAATTTGCTTTGGTGCAGACTGGAACACCAGTCCTGTACCTCTTCCTCACTTGATGCGCTTTTGACTTCTTCGATTCCACTTAACCCCTCTCGCTACACAAAGAACCCAGTGGTTCTATCCACATTGAAGGTGTGGTCTCAGTACCGGAGCCACTTCAAGTTTAAAGGCATCATGGTCTTCTCCACAGCCTTCACCTCAGATGCAGACCATGGCTTTCTCTAACGTTCTAGGGAGAGAAATAAAAATATATTAGCAATATACACTCCCAGGGTTAGGACCAAGCAGCCTGGCTGTAATCCCCCACCTGGTACACTTACCAGAAGGGGCACTGCCACTACCATGGGGTGCATCTGGATGAATGGTTGAAGGTTCTCCGCTTGAAGTTTCTTTTAGCCCGTCCGTTTGTGAGAGGATCTCTACTGCTCTCCCTGTCGCACAGAAAATAAAAATACAAGTGGCCTTTAGGGGAAAAAAATTATACATATTTTAATAATATCAAGAATTACCTTCAGGCTCAATTTGTATCTGGTCAAGGCTCTTTCCTTTGAATTCCGTCACTCTTCCCTGCTCCATGGCCATCAACACTTTGCTGATTTTGGCCAGCTCCAGTGTCCCCTCTGGTAGTCTGTAATATTGCCTGTGGATGCGAATGTCATGGCCGAGGAAGTTGGCTAGTATGTCCATCTCATTCTCTTTCCTATTGAGAACTGTAGACATAGTAGCTATGTGCTTTCTAAGTTTGGTTGAGGATAGCATCTCTGGATGCACCGCACCACATTCTTTGGCTACCTGGCGTAGGGAGTCTGATCCCCTGATGTGGGTGTCTGCGCCCGGGCGGGAGAAGAAGTATGGGTTATGGTCAGAGATGGAACAGGCCCTTCTGTTCTCCACCAGCACCTCCATCCAAGCAATCATTTCAGGAGTCAAAAGAACCACCACTTTCCCACTTCTTTTCCCTTTAATTTCAATGCGTTGAAAATGCTGACACAGCTTTTTCTCAAGTTGGGACAGTCCCAGAGCAATGTCAGAATGGATCCCAGTCTTACTTCTTTTTTTTTTTTTTTTTTACAAATATGTTTATTATAATTTTCAATTTAAGGACAAAACATATAACACACACATAAGAAAATTAAATAAAGACCCTCCCCCCACCCTCAAACCCACCCTTCACTCAATTACAACAAAATTATTTTCTACAAATCAAAGTCTTTTACAAGGCGTAGAAAGGGCAACCAAATGTCTTTAAAGTCCTCCAGTTTTCCTTTGGCAATATATGTCAGTTTCTCCAGCGCCAAGTTACTGGACATGAGTTTAATCCACTGATTCACTCCAGGTTTTTCTGTGTCCTTCCATTTTAAAGCAATGACATATTTCGCCTGCACCAGGCAAAAATTTACAAGTTTCTTGTTCTTTGTATTGCATTTAAAGCTATTTGGAAAAATGTGCAATATACAGAGTTTACCATCTAAGGGCATTTTACATTCAATTAAATCAGAAATTAGTGCACAAATTTGCTTCCAAAAGATTTGAAGTTCCTCACACTGCCACATACAATGATAAAGTGTCCCCTTTTCTTTACCACATTTGACACAATCATCTGGTATATTAGGGTTGAAATGATGGAGTTTCACTGGTGTGATGTAGGTTCTAAATAACCACTTGTACTGTACTAATCGGAATCTTGTGTTGATAGTTTGTTTTTGTGCAAGAATACAGGAGTTATTCCACTCTTCAACTGAAATGTCTGTTTCCATATCAGATCTCCAGGCTTGTAAATATGAAAGACTACTTTCTTTTGAGGCTGCAATTAAAATATTATAAAATTTGGAAAGTAAGCCCCTACTGTGATGATGGTTAACAGCCATATTCTCTATAGTGGACAGTGGGGGCTGCACAGTCGACTTCAATAAATTAGTAACAAAACTTCTGACCTGAAGGTA